TATATTATGATCCTTATCTTTTCGTGATTTATCCAGGTTCCTCTGAAATTTATGAGCGGATTCAGAGTTTATTTGGATGCTTTTGCAACTTTATTTAATATTAAATCCCGCGTGTACTGATTAAAGACTCATTTACGAGACTTCCTCACTGTAGGTTTTCACTTGAGCTCAAAATCTTCTTGATATTCATCACTTTATTATGCACTCAGAGTGCATAATTAAGAGTGCATTCTGTCATCCCGTCAGTCATTTTATATCCTTTTTTTCAAGTTAAACTTATCAATTCTAATTTAATTTATATTTATTTGGGAGGAATTTGATTACCTTCTTATCTGACTTTGGTCTCTTCATTAATCATCATTATCGGTAATTTTCCTGTATTAAATATAGTGTATAATATATATATATATATATATATATATATATATATATATATATATATATATATATATATATATATATATATATATATAGTGTATTATATATATATAGTGTATAATCCTGTAGTGTATATAGGCTAAGAGTATTCTGCTTTTATGATTACTTCATCCAGATCATTTATAAATAATAAGTAACCATTTACCGTCCCATGTACTCACCTAGTTGTGCTTTGGGAAGATTGAACCTCACAACTATTAATTATCTGATGCACAGGTTTCTGAGATTATTGGGCTCTATCATATCTACACGTGGAATTGTGCATGGCGTCTGCCTTCACCACATAATGCATTCCGTTTGTTAACCACTCTTGACACTGAAGAAATTATAATGTCTATGGCTCATTCGGGTACTTCGCTTCCATATTTGTTGTTCCCCATGTTCGTGTGAACACTCTGATGCCTCACTGTTGATCACTGATTATAGTTAATGTACATTAGCATGAACACATCTAATCTAAATATTATCCTCATATCCCTTGATTGTGTCTTCGTAATAACTGCCTTACTCTGGGATGAATTTCATCTGGTCTTAATATGGGCTCTCTTCATATCTTTATGGTTTTATTATTTTGTGTGTTTATTATTTCAATGTCTGCTATTTCATGCACATCACTCGTTATTAGTTTTGGCAACTCCAGGTATTTGTTTTTTTTATTTAAGAAAAAACAAATATCTTAAGACTTCTACCTCTTTTAATCTGTTTCTTCTGTTTTTCTCTCATATGTTCAAGTCAGGAATGGATAAAATTATAAATACACCGGACCAAAGACTTCTTCAGAAGCAGTTAAGCGTGCTAACTTCCACTAACTGGTCTATAAACGGCCGGTCAACACTACGGATTTTCCCCAGCGTGAGAAGGGCTGTTTACATTGGCTGGTCTCAAGAGCAGGCCGGGCTGGATCATATAGCAGCGGTAAGCTCCACTTTCATGCCCTCCTTTTGTTAGTGGATGTATGGGCTCGTCTTTAGTTAGAGTCGTAAGCCCTTAACATTGGCAGGCATCTGTGTAGATGTAAAGTTGGCTTAGACAGAAGCGTGAGTGATAGGTTTCATAGGTTGACTATTCTCTTGGTTGCTTTTGTTCACTTGTCTGGTGGGGTTCAAATATTGGGAAATTTTGTTTTAAGAGGTGCTTTATCTTCTGAATTTTATGATTGCTTAGTTTAAATTAGGAACTGTAAACAACTTCAGATAATTTGTTGATGTTAAATGATTTAAAACTGCTGTTTTTTTCATGATTTTTTTCAGTTTTAATTTTGCTTCGAGGAGCGAGTTTATTGGGCAGCGCTACTCATCCTGTGAGTGGACACACCGCTATAGCAGCATGTACAACACTTCCCAATAGGAAGAAAACCCGCTGGGTTGTTCATTCTGTCAGCTGTACCCAGACGCAGCTTGGACTATCTTGAAAAACTGTTCAAAATCCGTTTTCGATTTACCAGAATTACAGCCTTTTTGAGCCATGAAATGCTTTTTTCTTGTTTTTTGTAGAAATATAATAAGATTTCGTTTTGTCTAGGATTGCAAATACTTAAATTTTGTTACAGCACAAAAATGCTTCTTTTCGCTTTCCATCAGTTTCTGTTATTACCCCCGTAAATAACCAGTCACCTGCTCTGGCTTTGCGCCCTGGAGAGGCCACTCCAGACCGACAACCAGAGCGCAACTCCATAGTCTCCTGTGACTGATGGATGCCTACTACTACTACCAATACCAAATTACCAATCAGCAGCAAGCTAGCACATATTAGGAGACAAGTGCCTCAAGCCAATTTCAGGACAAAGTTTATGACCTCAACTGGAATATCCAAGCATTTGCAAAGTCTGGGAAAGCCTATATAATATCCAGGAGTGGCCTTGGTTTGACGTTTAATCAACGCTAATTTCACGTTGAATTGGGTTGCTCTTGGCTATTATGCCCACTGGGTAGTGCAATGCTTGCCGGGAAGACTTAAAACCCTTTTGGAATTTAATATTCGGATAATAAATTTGTGTGCTGGAACGCACAGCCGTAAGTGCGTTCATCTCATTTCACAACTTAAATTTTGGCAGAGGAAATGCGAAGAACTCCGTGAACTTAGAGGGACAAAGGAAGATTTGTTTGATTGCATTAAATAAATCTTTCCTTAGGACCTGTTAAATATTTTAATTTACATTTACCGTAACACGAGTAGAGGCGTAGCTATCCTCTGTTTAATGACCACGACTGGGACAAGAAGCATGAGGCTTGTCAAAGGTCCATCCCTATTTTTCTTGAGTTTTTTCCAACTCCAATTTGAAGTGAATTAATGTCTTGGCATTTCGGAGCCACTTACCCGCCGAAGCCGTAAATGACAAGATATTACTGCAGTTCAAAATCAAGTTAAAAAAAAAATCCTCCGGAAAATTAGAGGAGTCTTTGGCTTCCTGTCTCCGTCATATCCACGAAATAGATGGGTAAATAGGTAAATTTACCTAATCAGGTAAATTCAGGCAAGCTGATAGATTAGACATACACCACTTAGCAAATTGCACAGCAGTTGGCCTCCTTCTCCTTTGAGTCATCAGCTCCTTAAATTAATATCATCCTTTTAAATCTCTTCAAAAACCCTTAAGAGGTCGTATTTCACCATTAGTGTGAAGTGGTAAATTTGAAACCTGAAGCGCCCCCTGCGAAGTCAGAGTCTTCATCTTGATTTACATCAGTCGCTTACATAATCCAAGTTGTTTGAGGCTCAATTACCCAAATTACTTTGACTTGCTATCTCATATACAGCAACAGATCTTTTCTTTCTTGAAGATAATGGTTTCAGAGCTGCGTAACGATAATTGGCCAAGGACACGTGTATGGGTTGCAACAGACGGACCATGGGCACGTATACATGTGAGTTGCAGCAGATGGGCCATAGGCACGTATATGAGTTGCAACAGACGGGTCATGGGCACGTATATGAGTTTCAACAGACGGATACACAGCCTGTGTCTATACACTAGGTTAGAGTTCCTGCGGTGTTTGGTAGAGGAATCCAAGTTCTCGTGAACAGCTCAGTTCAGTGAGAATCCCCGATGATCTGCACAGTGGTTGATGAAAGATTGTTATCTTTTGATTTTCCACGAATTCCTTGATTGCTCGAATATCTTATGGTTTTGGGGCTAGTTTATTTTCAGATTTTCAACTTCCCAACTGGAAAATATCGGATTGATGAACACATGTATCTAATTTATGAATAGGCAACGTGTGCTGCGTTCGTGAGTACGCGACGGGCTCGTAAGTATTCCTGCCTTGCCCCATGAGTACTAATTACACGTGCCGAGCTGGTGTGAGTTAAGAGCACACAGGCTGCAGCACCATAGTCGCGTGACAGTTGGAACTATAGCCTCTCTCACGCTCTTCAAGTGACCGCCTTCTCATGGCACCTATAGGTCCTGACCCTGCCTGCCTGAGTGATGGATCTTGTGATTAGATTGGCTGAGTGACTGCTGCACGTCTGTGTGTGTGTGTGTGTGTGTGTGCGTGCATAAGTGCATACGTCCCAACGTAACTCGACCGAGCTGTAGTTCCTGACTGTGGATATTTTTCCAGTGTTGATCGTATAATGCAATGACTCCAGATTTTCTTTTATATTTTTGAGAATATTTAGCTTCTTTTACCACTCCTATTTGGTTCCACTTTGGCCAGAATGGGGAAAAGTCCTGTGAAGTGAGGAATTAAAATGCAACAGTGATACCAAAAAAATAGACCCAAATCATCCAATTAAACAAATTAGGCCTACCATTGTTGGACAAATTCTCGATAAGAAAGTGTCATACAGTCACCCTTGACAGTTAACGTAATGTGACCCAGTTTGGAAGATTATCCAATTTTCATGTTTTTTTTATCCGTGAATGTCAACATTATAATGTATCATCTATTGGGCTTCCCCTATTTTTATCAAAAGTGTATTTCCTCGCAGAATTTTTCTTGGTATACGCTGGTTCATTCAATGTACTTTTGTGTTGCGTTGACAGCCATTGTCATAGTAATTACTTTTGATGATAAAAAAGTTATTTTTTATTTCAATAACTCAAGGATCTTTTTTTTGTTTTGATGTGGACCATATTACTCTATTCATACACATATTACATCTTTATTTTCTTTGTTATTATTTTTAATTAATGCGTTTTCTTTCGTCTTCTCTTCTGCCTTCTTTTCTTTCTTCTAGATTCCTTCCTACTTCTTTTTTCCTTCTATATTTCTTTCTTCTTTCCTTATATCAAGAAGCTTCCTTTGGTACATTGGTCACAAATCACCAGGATGGTCCATCACATATCCTAAGGCCAGGATTCGTCGTACATTTACGTGGCCATTTACGAAACCTCTGCATCTTTCCTCATTGGGACCTAGTCTGTACTTATTAAACATTTTACGAGCTTGGAAACGTCACAATCCAAGGTTATTATTGTTATAAACAACCTCGTGGGGCTTCGGTTCTCATAAACTGTTCAATAATGCCAACTTGGCTCCCATGATTGGGGGAGAGATGTACAGGTTTCGCAAGTGGACACATATATGCTTACTAAACCCTGGCCAGGGGTTCCCGAAATGGTTATATGTTACACAGGGGCTGCCATAGAGTGCACTCATCACATGGGAGTTGCCACAGTGGGCACTCATCACATGGGAGCAGCCATAATGTGCACTCATCACATGGGAGCTGCCATAGTGTACACTCATCACATGGGAGCTGCCATAGTGGGCACTCATCACATGGGAGCTGCCATAGTGGGCACTCATCACATGGGAGCTGCTATAGTGTGCACTCATCACATGGGAGCTGCCACAGTGAGCACTCATCACATGGGAGCTGCCATAGTGTGCACTCATCACATGGGAGCTGCCACAGTGAGCACTCATCACATGGGAGCTGCCATAGTGTGCACTTATCACATGGGAGCTGCCATAGTTAGCACTCATCACATGGGAGCTGCCATAGTGTGCACTCATCACATGGGAGCTGCCATAGTGTGCACTCATCACATGGGAGCTGCCATAGTGTGCACTCATCACATGGGAGCTGCCATAATTATCCCATGCCACTAGGGTGCTTCCGTAGTAGGAACACAGATGTCATATTTGGGTACATATTAATGTGTGCTGACACACATATTAATGGGGGCCGGAGTGCATCCCCATTATGGCCACAAATTAACTGAGGGAAACAATAATGACAAAACATTAATGGAACAGCCCAACTGGTCACATGTTAAACTAGGTCTGCCCTATTTACCGTACATTATAGGTTGGGGCTGTTAAATTCCCCACACATTATATAGGCCTAGATGATTGCCATGACACTGCAAATCACCCTGGGAGTGCCATAATAGGGAAACGTCACTCATAGGCCAGTTTTAATGAGCTCTCGTTTCTCGTAGGCTCTTATAATGGGTTAAAGTCATTGGTGAGCTGTCTTAATGGACACACGCGACTCACGAGTCGTCTTAAACGACGTGATAATGATCCAAAACGGCGTCGTTTCGTCCTTTTTTGATGTGCAGTTTGGTCATTATGTCTTTAGCCCCGTTATGGTGACTCATTGGCAGTCTTCGTGACACACAGCACCAGGGAGGGGAGGGATTATCAGGGGAAAGCACCAAGCCATTACAACTATACAGCACTTGGAAGGGGTCAGGATAAGGATTTGGGATGGGACAGGGTGAAGGAACGGTGCACAACCACTTGGACGGTCGGGGATTGAACGCCGACCTGCATGGAGCGAGACCGTCGCTCTACCGTCTAGTTCAAGACACAGCACCCGGGAGCTACCATAGTCTAGCAGAGTAAACATGGAGCTGTCGTAGCATCGGAACTTTGTCTTGCCAGGGTTTATTGTGTATGGCCAGCACAGTTCTGATTAATATAACACTAGTAGTGCACACCGTCCTCTCGAAGAGTACACGTGTCCGTCCGTCCTCTCGAAGAGTACACGTGTCCGTCCGTCCTCTCGAAGAGTACACGTGTCCGTCCGTCCTCTCGAAGAGTACACGTGTCATTTTGATGTATAACCCCCCCCCCTAAAGCCAAACAAAATGATGTAATAAAAACCATAGCGTGATTTTTTTTGACGTGATGTCCTGTTTTCTATTTGTGGGTCTTAGGTTAGGTTAGATCAGAGAAACATTAGTAGTATATAGTGACGCTGTGGACGCTTGAGAGAACGGACTGATTCATCATAACTAACATGGGGGTCTTCGATAATACACTATACAATATGCTGCTGTCACCTCTGACACTTCAATCAGCGTGCGCCTTGCATGAAGATAAATCAATTTCCGGGAGTCTGTCGCCTTCATTATTCTCTAAAATGAAATAAAACATTGTTTTTAATTGACCTGTGGTATTATGGTGCTCGTGTGTGTGTGTGTGTGTGTGTGTGTGTGTGTGTGTGTGTGTGTGTGTGTGTGTGTGTGTGTGTGTGTGTGTGTGTGTGTGTGTGTGTGTGTGTTGCACCCAGTGACGTATGCTGTTGTCAAGTCACCATACCTGCCGCTGAGGCAGCTGGTTCAGCTTAAGTTGAAGCTGAAGGCAAAACAGCCTTTTAGCTTCAGCTTTTCTAATTATATAACATTTAATGAAAACTCTTCAGTGTTTTTCATTATATACTGTAACCTTTGTGTGCTGTGTCTTGTATAAGAAAAACCAAATATAAAAGATTTTTCCATTGTCCTCATCCATTATTATTATCATAAGTCTTGTGGGTGAGATATGCCATCTAACCATTATTTTATTTAAGTTTTAGTTTGTGTTGTTATGGAAATATGTGTGCTTAGTGGTGCCTACCTCTCCCCGCCATGCCTAGTGGTTGGGGGGAACGGATGCCCTGAAGTTATATAAAAACCCTACACCCCCCGAAGTGGCAGGGGAAAGAAGACAAATATATATATATATATATATATATATATATATATATATATATATATATATATATATATATATATATATATATACATATATATGTATATATATATACGTGATAAATATATAACACGTGATAAATAATATGAAAACGTACAGCCACGAAGGTCAGATTAGTCGAGCACTTTCGTATTTGTTTTTTATTAACTTTTTTCATGTGTTGATTTACACGAAAGCGTTCAAGTAATTTCTTGTTATTTTTACAAATATGCAATACACTAATTTTAAGTCAGAGAGCCAAATAAGAGTGTCTAAAATTTTCATACATGACCATGTGATCAGCAGTCTGCCTTTTGCTGCCTTATGAGGATATCAAGGACAGAAGAGTGAATAAGGTAGCTGTGATACTAAAATGTCCCTATCTCACAAGGTGGTCTGTCATAAAGGGCAATGTCAAAATATTATATTCACTAAAGTATTCACAAACGAACCGCCAAGTTCACAAACTTTTCGCACCGCATAAAACTCTGCTGCCCATCAGCATTTGTTGCGAAAGTTTCGTTTGAAGACGTAAACATTGTACCAATTTTGGCTGTGATGGTTCGGCGTGGTTCTCTGTCTGCTGGAGCTGTCTTGCCTTGAAGCTAGTCTCGGATCCTGTCTTCTTGTGTTTCCCGTTTTGCTATCTTTTCTGTTCACTTATGTCTGTCTGTCTGCCTTTTCTCTCCTCGCTCTCTATAATACGTCTATATTAGTTGCGTTACCCGTCGTGGGTCTACCCAGTGCCCAAGTCTACCCAGTGCCCAGGCTTACCCAGTGCCCAGGTTTACCCAGTACCCAAATCTACCCAGTGCCCAGGTCCACCAGTGCCCTGGACGTCACTGACACACTCTTCATGTATCTCTCCACATACACTCCCTCTCCCCCAACACTGTATCCTCCTTCAATTCACACTGTCCTTAAGTAAACATCTTTGCACCCTTTTTCATTTTACCTTTCACACACCCCCTCTATCCCACACCCCCTTACACACACTCTCTCGATAGACGATCTCCACACAGACCCTTCCCACCTCTACCCACACACAAGCCTAATCTTCCACCTGCATACACCCCTTCCCATATCCCCCCACACATTCTATCACCCCAGTCGCCCTCCCTATCTCCCTCTATCACTGCAACAATTTTCGTACACTATTTCCATCTCTGTAATCAAAAGATAGTGTAGAATGAAAAAATCTGTCATTTGACCATACGTTTTACATGTCAATATCTAATTACACTTTTTTTATTAACACATTTAGGTACATCTGCATTTGTGCAGCTGCACTAGATTATATGAATGGGAGTACAGTGTGTCAAAACCAGCTACGTGATGCTAAGAATCCCCATCACACAGGATGGTCAGTCATGCAGAGGCATGTGAACAGTAGTCTGCTCTGGCAAACTCTGGGTGCATTATGAGGCTATCCTCGAAAACATGAGAGTGAACAAAGTAATTGCATAAATATAGCTTCATATATATATATATATATATATATATATATATATATATATATATATATATATATATATATATATATATATATATATATATATATATATATATATAATATTGTGCATTCTAATGTACCAATATTGACACAAATGCTAAAATCTACGGCCTCGCAGCACAACATTTCACATGCACAGACTTCGTGAAGATGTGTACCTAACAGTGATGATGGTGGTGGAGGTCCATAGGGGCTGACCCCGGACCCTCTTATAACACTCCCCATAAAACCACAATCATTCCTACATATAGTAATGAGGCTATCCCCAAACATCTCGTCTCCAAGTTTGGGGATAGACGAACTTGGAGGCATTCTGACAAACAGACCAACCCGTTCTCGCAAATTCGTAAAGTCAATATTGACTTATTAAATAAGTGCATAGGTGACATACTAAACATAATAGATACCCTTAAAAGCTTTATAGAAAACACCGACCTTACCTAACCTTGTTAGTATCTTAAGATAAGCATCTTATAGCTCCGTAATTACAATTGTTACTTAACCTATTATAGGTACAGGTTAAGTAATAATTGTAATTACGAAGCAATAAGATGCTTATCTTAAGATACTAACAAGGTTAGGTAAGGTCGGTGTTTTCTATGAAGCTTTTTAAGGGTATCTATTATGTTTAGTATATCACCTATGCACGTAGTTAATAAGTCAATATTGACTATACGAATTTGCGAGAACGGGTTGAACAGACACACACACATCAGAACAAATCTCAAAATCTCAACACTAGCACCAGAAGCTCCTGTGAACAGAATAACATCAATACCAAATTGGAAGTTGGGAAATATAAGAACATCATTTAAAAAACTAAACAAGGTTTCAAGTCCATACACACTTTCCATGTGAGACCCTTACCTGAGTATGTAGTTTCAGCATGGAACTCACACCTTGCGAAGCATAATAAAAAAAATTAATAAGTTCGGAGGTTATCAACTAGATTAGCACCAGAATTTAGAGGTCTCAGATGTGAGGACAGGTTGAATGAACTCTCTCTCAAAATTTTAGTGGAGAGAAGAAACAGAGGGGATATGATAACTACATACAAGATCTTGAGGGGAATAGATAAAGTAGATAAATGAAGCCATTTTTAAATTAAAAAGAGGACGAGGGGACATGAGTGGAAGCTGGACACGTAATTTAGTTGAAGAGATGTAAGGAAGTTTCTTGTACGGGTGGTCGGCACTGGTATGCATTGAACGAAACACTTGTTGAAGTCAACAGAAGGCCAAAAGGATTGGAGTACAGGGAAAGAATTTTGTGGTTTTTTGTTATAATCTCATCTGTCCTGCCAATATTTACAGTTTCATGAAAAGGGTAACAGATAGATGACATTGATGGAGACCAATGTATCCCCTGTCAAATGTTCCTCCAATGTATTACCATTTTTAGCTATTTCTATCTGTTTCTGAGTGTTTCTCTGAAAAAATACACAAATGCGCGTGATTCAGCTAAACAGAAGTAACCAATTGGAAGAATATACGATAAATCTGAACGCGTTCGTGTACTTAACACATTCTTAAGGAATGAGTTAACTGCTTCTGGAGGCAGTTCATCTCCTGAGGTTTGTCATCATTCTGTATTTACGGTGCCTAACTTGGCCTGGCTGTGTGTGTATTCTCGTTCT